TAGTTGTTTGAAGATTAGCTCGATTCTCTTCCAAAATTATAAAGTAGCCACCTTGGTAATGTACCTCAGGCAGTGCTCACTGACTTTCTATGATGGACATCAATGTCTGAACAGCAAGAAAACAAAAACAAACAAACATTTTATTTTCTTGCGCAGTATTAAAAATGTAGCTTACATGTAATAAAATACAGTGGACCCCCGGATAACGATCAGCTCCCAACTCGACCAATTATGTAAGTTTATTTTTGTAAGTGCTTTTGTAGGTGTATTTTTAGGGGTCTGAAATGGACTAATCTAATTCACAATATTTCTTATGGGAACAAATTCGGTCTATAATGGCACCCAAACAGACTTCTGGATTGAAATAATATCGTTATGCGGGGGTCCACTGTATTGATAAGCACAAAGAAAGCCACTAGCATGCATTTGAATTTTGGGCAGATCAGTCCTTATGCTTACAGACTACTTAAGACTAGACACAGGTATTGAGTGGTACAATTATAAGTACAGCCTCTCCTCACTTAGCGATGTACTAGCTCACCAACGACTCGAACTTACGATGGGCTCTCTAATCAGTATGCATACCTAAATACAGCCTCTCCTCACTTAGCAACAAGCTTGTTTACTGACGACTCAAACTTATGACAGATTCTCTGACCAGTATGCATACCTATATAATGTATATTAGAGCTGATTTCTTATATGTATTCTGTTTATTACAATATATAGTACACTACTGTATAAACATTTAAAGTATACTACAAATGTTATAAATGGTGCAAAGGTGACATTAAAACAATATCAAAAATAGTTGACACAAACCCACTACCATTATAGTCTATTCCATACTTAGCAATGAATTTGTTTACCGAAGTGGTCTTAGGAACGGAACTCTGTCGTTAAGTGAGGAGAGGCTGTAATGTATATTAGAGCTGATTTCCTCTATTCTGTTTATTACAATATAGAGTATAGTAGGGCCCCACTTGTATGGTAGGTTAGGTTCAGCTATCAAGGAGGAGTTTGAGGGGAGGGTTTATATTAATGTTGAATGTTCTACATATATAACAGTCACAGAAACATGAGTGTATATTTTGTATATTTAGTAAGTTCAAACTCTTGAAGAGTAGGGGGATTATTGTCTGGCACAGGAATGGGTGATAATCAGCACAGCAGCTTTTTGATAGGTTATTAATGGTTTAAGATGATTAGCTGTAGTAGATCCCTTGGCACAAATACCACAGGTGAGGTAAGGGTAGATTAGTGTGTGTTATAGTGTATGTAGTATCATTTTACCATAATGAAAACAATAACACACAGGATACTTAGGAGTCACACATATTATTCCACAGTAGCATTCAAGAAATAATTATTTTCATAATAGTGCCTTCTGTACCTGCTTTGTAGTAGTAGCTGTGATACTGATGGAGCACCTTGACTGTATAGGTCTCTCAGTGTTCATAGCCACACAAACAATTTTTTTTTTAACATGTCAGCCATTTCCCACCAAGGCAGGGCGACCCAAAAAGAAAGAAAAAAACAAAGAGAAAGAAAAAATTATCATTCAATACTTTCAATGTCATTCATACATAATCACTGTTTTTGCAGAGGCGCTCAAATATGACAGTTTAGATGTCCCTCCAAACAGCCAATATCCAAACCCCTCCATTAACCCGTAAATGGTCCAAACGTATATATATACGTTTTTACCGCTAGTGCCCCAAACGTATATATACGTTTTATTTGTCATACATTCAACATTGCCACGATAAGCCTGAGTCACCTAGACATGAGAGAATGGGTGTGTGCACTCACTGTGCACCATATTAAAATAATTGGGGATGCCTAGGTACCATATGCTCTTTTCCTATTAAAAAACTATTTTTTTTTCTCAAAAAATTTGGGGCACTACGGGAGAGAATGTATACTGTGGTCCCCCGCTTTTCGTAGTTCTCGGGAATCCTAGATTTCGGAAATCATAGGGATATTTTCGTATAAACATGGGCTCGCTGATCATAGGTTGACTCGCGAATAGTAGTTCGTCCGGGACGCATACGCACAGTGTGAGCCAGGGCGGCCCCCCTACCCAGCCAGTCTGGCACTGTTTACCAGTGAGCGAAGGTCCCCTCACGTGCTCCTACGAAATATTTCATAATATTCCACTCATTTTAGTGCTTGCAAGTACTAAATAAGCTACCATGGCTCCAAAGAAAGCTCCTAGTGCCAAGCCTGTGGTAAAGAAGGTGAGAAATATGATTGAATTTAAGAACAGCAACAGATCGCAGCTCAGAATCTTGCTGCAAAGGAGGAGGAAGAGAGATGGAAGAAGGTGCCTTCTTCAGAAATTAAAGAGATTTTTACTATGTGGGGTAAGATGGAAAGCTTTATGGAGAAACATCACCCTGACAAGGTTGTTGCAAGCTAGGTTGGCATCATGTACAGTGACAAAGTCTTGGGCCATTTTAGGGAAGTGTTAAAGAGACACCAGAAACAGAGCTCTCTCCACAGTTATTTTGCGAGACAGGATTCCAATGATTCTCAAGGTGGTCCTAGTGGCATTAAGAAATAGAGAAGAGAAGCAACCCCAGAAAAGCAATTGGTATCTGAGGTGTTGATGGAAGGGGATTCCCCTTCCAAACTGTAAACAATCCAATCTCTCTCCTCCTCCAGTCTCCCATACTCTAAGAAGAATCTCCAATAAAGGTAAGTGTTATGCTGTTAATGTTTCATTCAACATTTCCCATTGTATTGTTTATGTACTACATCTATATTTCATGTAAAAAATTTTTGTTTTAATACTTCTGGGTGTCAGGAACGGATTAATTGTATTTACATTATTTCTTAGGGGAAAATTAATTCGCAAATCGTAGATTTCGATAATAGTAGCAACTCCAGGAATGGATTAACTACGAAAAACGAGAGACCACTGTATATACATTTGGACCGTTTACAGGTTAAAGTGCAGACACTGTACTTCCCACCTCCAGGACTCAAGTCCAGCTAACCAGTTTCCCTGAATCCCTTCACAAAGTATTACCCTGCTCACACTTCAACAGATCGTCAAGTCCCAAAAACCACTTATCTCCATTCGCTCATATCTAACACTTTCATGCATGCTTCCTGGAAGTCCAAGCCCCTCACCCACAAAACCTCCTTCACCCCCTCCCTCCAACCTTTTCAATGACGATCCCTAACCTATCTTCCGTCCCATTCCTCTCCAAGTCATTCTACTTTGTTCCATTAACTCTAAATGACCAAACCACCTCAACAACCCCTCTTCAGTCCTCTGACTAATACTTTTAGTAATTCCACACCTCCTCCTAATTTCTGCACTATGAATTCTCTGCATAACATTTACACCACACATTGCCCTTAGACACGACATCTCCACTGCCTCCAGCCTCCTCCTTGCTGCAGCATTTATAACCCATGCTTCACACCCATGTAAGTGTTGGTACCACTATACTTTTGTACGTTCCCTTCTTAGCCTCCATGAAAAACGTTTTTTGTCTCCACAAATGCGAGGGTCTTGGCAAGAGGCGTGGAGTTAAAAGATAAAGAATCACACACAAAGTGGGAGTTGTCACAGCTGCTCTTTGCTGATGACACTGTGCTCTTGGGAGATTCTGAAGAGAAGTTGCAGAGATTGGTGGATGAATTTGGTAGGGTGTGCAAAAGAAGAAAATTAAAGGTGAATACAGGAAAGAGTAAGGTTATGAGGATAACAAAAAGATTAGGTGATGAAAGATTGAATATCAGATTGGAGGGAGAGAGTATGGAGGAGGTGAACGTATTCAGATATTTGGGAGTGGACGTGTCAGCGGATGGGTCTATGAAAGATGAGGTGAATCATAGAATTGATGAGGGAAAAAGAGTGAGTGGTGCACTTAGGAGTCTGTGGAGACAAAGAACTTTGTCCTTGGAGGCAAAGAGGGGAATGTATGAGAGTATAGTTTTACCAACGCTCTTATATGGGTGTGAAGCGTGGGTGATGAATGTTGCAGCGAGGAGAAGGCTGGAGGCAGTGGAGATGTCATGTCTGAGGGCAATGTGTGGTGTGAATATAATGCAGAGAATTCGTAGTTTGGAAGTTAGGAGGAGGTGCGGGATTACCAAAACTGTTGTCCAGAGGGCTGAGGAAGGGTTGGTGAGGTGGTTCGGACATGTAGAGAGAATGGAGCGAAACAGAATGACTTCAAGAGTGTATCAGTCTGTAGTGGAAGGAAGGCGGGGTAGGGGTCGGCCTAGGAAGGGTTGGAGGGAGGGGTAAAGGAGGTTTTGTGTGCGAGGGGCTTGGACTTCCAGCAGGCATGCGTGAGCGTGTTTGATAGGAGTGAATGGAGACAAATGGTTTTTAATACTTGACGTGCTGTTGGAGTGTGAGCAAAGTAACATTTATGAAGGGATTCAGGGAAACCGGCAGGCCGGACTTGAGTCCTGGAGATGGGAAGTACAGTGCCTGCACTCTGAAGGAGGGGTGTTAATGTTGCAGTTTAAAAACTGTAGTGTAAAGCACCCTTCTGGCAAGACAGTGATGGAGTGAATGATGGTGAAAGTTTTTCTTTTTCGGGCCACCCTGCCTTGGTGGGAATCGGCCGGTGTGATAATAAAAATAATAATAAATACCTCAAAGTACCACTCACCCTTTTTCCTTCATCAATTCTATGGTTAACCTCATCCTTCATAAACCCATCTGCTGACAAGTCAGTTCCCAAATATCTGAACACATTCACTTCTTCCATACTCCCTCCCTCCAATATGATATCCAATTTTTCTTTATCTAAACCATTTGATACCTTCATCACCTTACTCTTATCTACGTTCACTTTCAACTTTCTACCTTTACACACCTTCCCAATATGTACAACCTAAAATTAAGATTAAAATTAAAAAGCAATAAAAAGACTTGATTTATAAGTGCAGATTATCATTACTCAGGGAACCAAGGCATTCCTAAGTCAGGGATGTACTTTGTGGTAGTGTATTAAATCCTGTAAGCTTACCCGAGGCCTCGTCACACACTTCTTGCTTTTGTACTTTAAGAGTGAACGATTGGTTGTTCCATATATACTGATGGGTATATTGAGCAAGATGGGCAAGCATCTGAACAGTCAGTTCTTCGAGCTTGGTCTCCTCCACCACAGGTGTGCCATCCTTGTGATGGGGAAACAGCCAATAGCGTATGGTCTCTTCATCATCAACACGCTTTTGATTAAATATACTACAGGCCATTTCAAATCTGAAAAATATTTAATTTAATTAATTATGCAAAAAGATTAATTATCAGTACATCACAATGAAACAGTACAGTAAACATTCAATATAACAGACCTCAATATAACAAAATTTTGAAAAAAAAAAAAAAAAAATTACTGAGTAATTAATATTTTTAACTCATTTATGCTCACTCAATGTTTACTGTAGTACAATTGTAAATTGTGTGTCCAGTACTGGTATATCAAGCATATAATAGAGGACTTCAGTGTTTTTTCTGTGGATTTTGATCATAATTCTAATTTAACACACTTGAAGAATTCTCACTAGCCAAATATAATAGGGATTTACTGTAGTAAAACACAAGTAATAATACCATAACGAAATACAAGAAACAAACCATTAAACACTATTAAAAACCTCAAAAAGATATGTATTAGGATTAAACACAATCCCCACCACAAACAAGAGTCTGCCCTCAAGGGGATCTGCTATTAATAATTTCAACCGCTTATGAATTATTCGATGTTATAAGTACCCAGGGAGGTACTACCGTCCTGCCAAGTGAATGTAAAACTGAAGCCTGTAACTGTTTTACACGATGGTAGGATTGCTGGTGTCTTTTTTTTTCTGTCTCGTACACATGCAAGATTTCAGGTAATATCTTGCTACTTCTACTTACACTTAGGTCACACTACACATTCATGTACAAGCATATATATACACACCCCTTTGGGTTTTCTTCTATTTTCTTTCTAGTTCTTGTTCTTGTTTATTTCCTCTTACCTCCATGGGGAAGTGGAACAGAATTCTTCCTCCGTAAGCCATGCGTGTTGTAGAAGGCGACTAAAATGCCGGGAGCAAGGGGCTAGTAACCTCTTCTCCTGTATATATTACTAAATGCAAAAGGAGAAACTTTCGTTTTTCCTTTTGGGCCACCCCGCCTCGGTGGGATACAGCCGGTGTGTTGAAAGAAAGAATAAGCTATAGTATTTCATTTTGTAAATACTGAAGGACTTGACATGCTGTTGGAGTGCAAGCAAGGTAATATTTATGAAGGGATTCAGGGGAAACTAGCAGGCCAGACTTGAGTCCTGGAGATGGCAAGTACAGTGCCTGCACTCTGAAGGAGGGGTATTAACCCTTAAACTGTCCAAACGTAGATCTACATTTGCGCGCGTAGAGCTCCGACCTTGATTTTTCTCCATAAGAAACAACGTAAAAAACGTAGATCTACGTTCGGAGCGCTACGTGAGCAAACATAGATCTACATTTGGATAGTTTAAGGGTTAATGTTGCAGTTTTATAACTGTAGTGTAAGCACACCTCTGGCAAGACAGTGATGGAGTGAATGATGGTGAAAGTTTTTCTTTTTTGGGCCACCCTACCTTGATGGAAAACAGCCAATGTGTTAATAAAAAAAAATATAAAGTGGGTAACACAATGGCCATCTCCCACATCTCTGAAACTATATCCATTTCCATCGGTACACTAAGAGAAAGCACCATAAGTGGCCGGGGTGGCCCAAGACTGTTCAACAGCCTCCCACCAAGCATAAGGAGAATTACCAATAGGCCCCTGGCTGCTATCAAGAGGGAGCTGGACAGATACTTAAAGTCGGTGCCAGATCAGCCGGGCTGTGGTCAGTACGTTGGACTAGTCTACAAAGCTGATGATAATACTTGCAAATCTACAAAGTCTACAAAGCTGATAATAATACTTGCCTATTCTTAACCCTTTGACTGTTTCAGCCATATACATGTATACACGTCTTACGAGCCAGAGTTTCGGACGTACATATACTCAATAATTCTAGCGGCTTCAAATCAAGCAGGAGAAAGCTGGTAGGCCCACATGTGAGAGAATGGGTCTGTGTGGTCAGTGTGCAGTGTATAAAAAGAAATCCTGCAGCACGTAGTGCATGAGAGAAAAAAAACTCCGACCACGTTTTTGGATTAAAATGCCGACTTTGAGGTGTATTTTCCTGTATTTATGGTTGTATTCTCGCTTTCTTGGTCTCATTTGATAGAATGGAAAACATATTACAGAAATAGAGATGATTTTGATTAGTTTCACGATAAAAACGACCTTGAAATTGAGCTCAAAGTAGCTGAAATGTTCAATTTTTACCAATGTTCAAGAGTAAGCAAATCACACCACATGTCCAATTCACGTCAACTGGGGAGTCTATTATTCTTTCACTAGTGCACTGATATTATTTATACCATTTTTACAATATTGCAGTAGTCTGCATAACAGTAAATCTTCCATTTTTTGTGTGAATAAAAAATCAAAATAGAAAGCAAGAGTAATATAAGAGGGGCCTGGAGATGTGACTAATAAACAGAGGATATGTTATTTTAGTGCCAGGAATGTCTGCATTGTTTATTCTGGACCCTATTTTGAAATTGGCATCTTTTTTAATTTGCATGAAATTTGACAAATTGCCAATTTGACCACTTTATTGGGTAGTTGAAATCAGTAAATGGGCGGTTTCTTGTACTGAATTGATAGAAAAACATGGAGTTCTAAAGAAATAGCTATGAGTTTGGTTGACTGGAACAATGGAATTGGCTGAAAATAGGGCTCAGTCACTGAAATCGCCAATGCGTATATATCGCTGAGATCGCTAACTTCGCGAGAGAATAATTCCGTAAGTTTTTGATAAAATTTCGTACTTTTGGTGTCATTACCATCGGGAAAAGATTCTCTATCATTTCATAAGAAAAAATAATTTTTTTTTTCCAAAAATCTTTCGACACCAGGAGACATTTCAGAATTTGGGGTTGCGACAGTCAAAGGGTTAATTATTATAATCACAACTAAGAGCTAAACCCTTCATATTTTTAAATATTTCATGGTTTATCGAGTCAAGTGTCTTTATCTTTTAAGTCTAGGGATACCATTCCTGTTAAATTTCTTAGGGATATGAGAGCTCTCTAAGTCCGATTAAATTAGATTTGGGCCATACATGTCCTAATTTGCAAATTTTTATTAAAGCAATTTGCATATAAGTTTTCATATGATGACTTGTGAATGCTCCTTCTGATTACCTTCAGGTCTTCAGCTCTAACATTTAACTGCATTATCTACTTATGCCCCACTCAGCACTATTCCAGCCATGTGCATTGAGGCACAGGGGACTGGGGTAATGGAATACGGAGATAAAGGTCTCGGACTGCGCAGCAACTGAAACACTTCTAGTGTGGACTGGAAGAGGTGTATGAGTGAGAATGTTTGGGTGTAAGAAGAACCTGCCAAGCATGGGTCAGGAAACAGAGTAGTCAATGAGTAGAACAGTCTACCTAGTAGAGTCACTGAAGCTAAAAGCTTGGGTAACTTCAAATACAAGTTAGATAAATATACAAGTGAGAGGGGTGGAGTTGAGTGGGACTTGCACTTGGAATTGGCAAAGCTCTTGTTTCACACGCTGAGGCTCCGGGTTTGATTCCCGACAAGGGTGGAACATTGGACAAGTTACCTTACGCCTGCTGTCATGTTCACCTAGCAAGTAGGTACCTGGGTGTTAGTCGACTGGTGTGGGTTGCATCCTGGGGGACAAGATTGAGGACCCCAATGGAAATAAGACACAGTCCCTCAATGACACATTGCCTTTCTTGTGTTATCCTGAGTGGCTAACCTTCCAGAGTTAAAAATCCGAACAAAATCTTATCAAAGCCTATTCCTTGGGTAACACTGATAACAGGTAGGGCATATAATTTTTAGAGGGTTTGGGTTTGAGAAGAACCTGCCAAGTATGGCCAGTAGGCCTGCTACAGTGTTCCTATTTCCTTTTGTTCTTAACCCTTTCAGGGTCCAAGGCCCAAATCTGGAGTCACGCACCAGTGTCCAAGAATTTTCAAAAAACAATTTTTTTATTTTTTCTTATGAAATCGTAGAGAATCTTTTTGTGAAGGTAATAAAACAAAAAGTACGAAATTTGGTGGAAAATTGACGAAATTATGCTCTCCCGAATTTTGATGTGTCAGCGATATTTACGAATCGGCGATTTTGCCGATTTTGACTCCCATTTTAGGCCAATTACATTATTCCAATCAACCAAATTCTTAGCTATTTCACTAGTATTACTTCTATTCTATCGATTGAGCACAAGAAATCGCCAAGTCAACTGTTTCAACTACAAAATAAAGTGATCGGAAATTGTTAATTTGGCCAATTTAACACAAAGTTCAAAATATTCCAATTTCAAAATAGGGTCCAGAATGAACAATGTAGGCATTCCTGGCACTAAACTAACATTTCCTCTGTTCATTAGTTATGTTTTGAGGCTTTACAAATAAATTCCATTTTGATTTTTTATTCACATAATGAATTTTTATTCACACCAAAAAATAGAAGATTTACTGTTATGCAATACTGTAATAATTGTATAAATATCATCACCATATTTGTGAATGTATATTAGACCCACCAGCTGACGTGTATTAGATGTGTGAGGTCGTTTGTTTACTCTTGAATATCGGCAAAAATTTAACATTTCCGCTACTTTGAGCTCAGTTTCAAGCCATTTCCAGTGCTAAAACCAATCAAAATCATCTCTATTTCTGTAATATGTCTTCCATTCTATCAAATGAGACCAAGAAATCGCAAATACAACTATAAAAAACATACGAAAAAACACTGCAAAGTTGCTGTTTTAATCGAAAAATCATGATTTCATTTTTTTTCTCTCATTATACACAGTGTGCTGCAGGATCTGTTTTATGTGGTGCACACATACCACATAGATGTATTCTCTCATATCTAGGCCCAAATGTACCACTCACAGTTTATCAGAGTGAGCTGAGCTCATGGCGTAGATCTACGGTTTGGACCATGAACGTAAAGCCATAGATCTACGGGACGGACCCTGAAAGGGTTAAGAGTCCTAGATTATATACCCTAGTCCTAGATTATATATCCTAGTCCTAGATTATATACCCTAGAGTCCTAGATTATATATCCTAGAGTCCTAGATTATATATCCTAGAGTCCTAGATTATATATCCTAGAGTCCTAGATTATATACCCTAGAGTCCTAGATTATATACCCTAGAGTCCTAGATTATATACCCTAGATCCCTTGATTATATACCCTAGAGTCCTAGATTATATATCCTAGAGTCCTAGATTATATACCCTAGATCCCTTGATTATATATCCTAGTCCTAGATTATATAACCTAGAGTCCTAGATTATATACCCTAGATCCCTTGATTTTATATCCTAGTCCTAGATTATATACCCTAAATCCCTTGATTATATATCCTAGAGTCGTAGATTATATATCCTAGAGTCCTAGATTATATACCCTAGAGTCCTAGATTATATATCCTAGAGTCCTAGATTATATACCCTCGAGTCCTAGATTATATATCCTAGTCCTAGATTATATACCCTAGTCCTAGATTATATATCCTAGAGTCCTAGATTATATACCCTAGAGTCCTAGATTATATACCCTAGAGTCCTAGATTATATATCCTAGTCCTAGATTATATACCCTAGAGTCCTAGATTATATACCCTAGTCCTAGATTATATACCCTAGAGTCCTAGATTGTATATCCTAGAGTCCTAGATTATATATCCTAGAGTCCTAGATTATATACCCTAGAGTCCTAGATTATATATCCTAGAGTCCTAGATTATATACCCTCGAGTCCTAGATTATATATCCTAGTCCTAGATTATATATCCTAGAGTCCTAGATTATATACCCTAGAGTCCTAGATTATATACCCTAGTCCTAGATTATATATCCTAGAGTCCTAGATTATATACCCTAGAGTCCTAGATTATATACCCTAGAGTCCTAGATTATATACCCTAGAGTCCTAGATTATATATCCTAGAGTCCTAGATTATATATCCTAGAGTCCTAGATTATATACCCTAGAGTCCTAGATTATATACCCTAGAGTCCTAGATTATATACCCTAGAGTCCTAGATTATATACCCTAGTCCTAGATTATATACCCTAGAGTCCTAGATTATATACCCTAGTCCTAGATTATATATCGTAGAGTCCTAGATTATATACCCTAGAGTCCTAGATTATATACCCTAGAGTCCTAGATTATATATCCTAGAGTCCTAGATTATATACCCTAGAGTCCTAGATTATATACCCTAGAGTCCTAGATTATATATCCTAGAGTCCTAGATTATATACCCTAGAGTCCTAGATTATATACCCTAGAGTCCTAGATTATATATCCTAGAGTCCTAGATTATATACCCTAGAGTCCTAGATTATATACCCTAGAGTCCTAGATTATATATCCTAGAGTCCTAGAGTATATATCCTAGAGTCCTAGATTATATACCCTTGAGTCTTAGATTATATACCCTAGAGTCCTAGATTATATATCCTAGAGTCCTAGATTATATACCCTAGAGTCCTAGATTATATACCCTAGAGTCCTAGATTATATACCCTAGAGTCCTAGATTATATACCCTAGAGTCCTAGATTATATACCCTAGTCCTAGATTATATACCCTAGAGTCCTAGATTATATACCCTAGAGTCCTAGATTATATACCCTAGAGTCCTAGATTATATACCCTAGTCCTAGATTATATACCCTAGAGTCCTAGATTATATACCCTAGAGTCCTAGATTATATATCCTAGAGTCCTAGATTATATACCCTAGAGTCCTAGATTATATACCCTAGAGTCCTAGATTATATACCCTAGAGTCCTAGATTATATACCCTAGAGTCCTAGATTATATACCCTAGTCCTAGATTATATACCCTAGAGTCCTAGATTATATACCCTAGTCCTAGATTATATATCGTAGAGTCCTAGATTATATACCCTAGAGTCCTAGATTATATACCCTAGAGTCCTAGATTATATATCCTAGAGTCCTAGATTATATACCCTAGAGTCCTAGATTATATACCCTAGAGTCCTAGATTATATATCCTAGAGTCCTAGATTATATACCCTAGAGTCCTAGATTATATACCCTAGTCCTAGATTATATATCCTAGAGTCCTAGATTATATACCCTAGAGTCCTAGATTATATACCCTAGAGTCCTAGATTATATATCCTAGAGTCCTAGATTATATACCCTAGAGTCCTAGATTATATACCCTAGAGTCCTAGATTATATACCCTAGAGTCCTAGATTATATACCCTAGAGTCCTAGATTATATACCCTAGTCCTAGATTATATACCCTAGAGTCCTAGATTATATACCCTAGAGTCCTAGATTATATACCCTAGAGTCCTAGATTATATACCCTAGTCCTAGATTTATACCCTAGAGTCCTAGATTATATACCCTAGAGTCCTAGATTATATACCCTAGAGTCCTAGATTATATACCCTAGAGTCCTAGATTATATACCCTAGTCCTAGATTATATACCCTAGAGTCCTAGATTATATACTCCTTAATAACATTCATTAAATATATAATGAAGACAGGAGAGGTAATTAGTCTCCTTCACATAATAAACAGGTAACTATAACGAGTCATAAATTAGGTATTATACATTAGTGTAATAATATTAGTCATTAATGATGATGACAGGAGAGGTAACTTACACTCCTACACACACAGATAACTACAATGATGACAGGAGAGGTAACTTACACTCCTACACACATAGATAACTACAATGATGACAGGAGAGGCAACTTACACTCCTACACACATAGATAACTACAATGATGACAGGAGAGGTAACTTACACTCCTACACACATAGATAACTACAATGATGACAGGAGAGGTAACTTACACTCCTACACACATAGATAACTACAATGATCATCATAATTTATTTACTAGACGTATAATAATGTTAACGTCATTAACAACATTATAACGAGGCGAGGCAACTTAACCTCCTACACATAATAAACATAAATAACTACAATGACAGTTATAAATTACTCATTATACATAATAATAAGAGTGTAACTTAGTGATATTAACAACATACATTGTATAAATAATGAAATATGAAGGTAATAAGAGAGTGGAGGCAGCTCAGCGTCCTCCTCCTCACACTAACATAAACAAACTAACACTACCTATAATATTTACATTAATTATATCTACTGTATTTACACACTTTTACAACTTTCATATCATACAATTTAAAAATGTATAAAATTCTATTAATAGAACAGTAGTATATACACGTTTACATGAAATATAAACTAGACTTTTATAATGACGATAATTTTAGAAGCAGATTTACTCTCATTTGTTTTAAATTAATAAAATATTAACATCATTATTTTCTCTACAAATACAGTTGTTCCTACATTGTTAACCACTTTTATTATAATTAAAAATATTCTGGCCTTTTTTTTGCAATAAAGTTTGATATACACAACATTTTATCGACTAATGTCACAGTCATTGTATTATTATAATCAAAAAGAAGCGCTAAACCAGTCATTGTAGACTCGTTATTATGATAAATAAATAATGATAATATTGATTTTTTCTAGGTCATATAAATAATGTAGATACAAGTATTTATACAACAGTAGATTTGGGCAACTTTCTTTTGGGGGGGCAACTAATGAGTCATTATTATTTTCTGTATATCAAAAAGTTTTCCTCACTAATATACAAAATCTATAATAATTTCTATATATCACCAGACTCATTAATATAATAATTCATTATTATTTTCCACATTTCAATAATATAGACACGTTAAATATAATGAGTCATTATTTCACTATCAACAAAGTAGACAAATATAATGTCATTATTACTTTCCATGTGTCAACAATGTCTCATAATATTTATTACAGTTACAAAGATGATGTAGTAGTATTTTATTGGCCAGGTTATTGATCCATGAGTCATGTTCTGAGTCATAATAGGTCTACTCACCTCTACGTACATTGTTCCTGAGTCAATAGGCCTACTTACCTCTACAATATTCTTCCTGAGTCACAATAGGCCTACTCACCTCTATATACAATATTCTTCCCGAGTCACAATAGGCCTTACCTCTACAATATTCTTCCCGAGTCACAATAGGCCTACTCACCTCTATATACAATATTCTTCCCGAGTCACAATAGGCCTACTCACCTCTACAATATTCTTCCCGAGTCACAATAGGCCTACTCACCTCTACAATATTCTTCCTGAGTCACAATAGGCCTACTCACCTCTACAATATTCTTCCTGAGTCACAATAGGCCTACTCACCTCTATATACAATATTCTTCCTGAGTCACAATAGGCCTACTCACCTCTATATACAATATTCTTCCTGAGTCAATAAGCCTACTCACCTCTACAATATTCTTCCTGAGTCACAATAGGCCTACTCACCTCTATCTTTGAATGGATGCCTACTGTTCAAGTTTTAGGTGCAATAGGTTATAACTGTATCAAAAGCTTTTCATAGGTCTATGAAAAGTCCAAGGGGAATTTCATTTTTTCGAGTACCAAATATATTAGTTCAAAGGTGTATAATTGCATCATTAGTACTTTTTTCGGTCCAAATCCAAATTGACAGGGGTTAAGTATGTCCTGGGATACTAAGTAGGAGTAGACTTGTTTGTGAATTAATTTTTCGAATATTTTAGATAGTAGGGGAAAGTCTGATATAGGTCTAGAGATGTTCAATTCAGTTGGATCACCTCCTCTGAGGATTGAGGTGACCCTTGCTGTCTTAAGAATGGATGGGAAGGTGGAAGATTCAGTAGATTTGTTAAAGAGAATTGCAATAATTGGTGACAACACATGAGAAGCTTTTTTATACAATAGGCCTACTCATTTCTATATACAATGCTTTCTCACACCATTCTTCGTAGGGAATTTTCACTGACAACCAAAATTACCCGAGTTTAATCCTGGGCAAGGCGTATGGTCAAGTCTGTTAACACTAACTGTTTAGAAGTTAATGTACTATTACAGTCAGTATACAGGGAGGTTTTAACATGAACCTCGGAGGAAATAAACCACACTGCTCCCTATTTGAATCGTACTTACTCTTACAACTTCATACTGAGTCTGCCTCCACCAAATCATTCCACTTCTCAACCACACTGAGACTACAGAAATATACTCTTACATCCCTATGGCTCATCTGTATTTTCAGTCTCTAACTGTATCTTTTGATCCTGATCCCCTTAATTCATTCTGTCCTTATCTGCCCTATCAATTCCTCTTAAGCTTTTGTATGCAGTAATTATGTTTTCTCTTGTCTTTCTCTCCTCTAAGATCAAGTTTATTTCAATCTCATAATGCATTCCTCTCAGTTTTGGTATTATTAATATTTTATCATGCGTAGGAGCTTATATGGGTCATACAGCACCTCTGTAACGGGAAGTAATCAGGTTTGATCTGATCAGGTAGCTCCAGTTCCTTATAACAAGAGTCCCTCACAGCAATAAGAGTAATGGTGGTGGTCAATATTTCACCCACTATTCATGATTATAATTATAATTAGAATCATGGGGGAGCACTAAACCTGCAGGATTATACAACGCATGTGGGGGGATGAGTGAAAGGTATTCATGAAAATGGCTGCTTTCAACCTACTGTTTTATGATGCTCTGGATTTGCAGCTCTGGTCTCTGGGTTAGATAAAATCTGGCAACGGTTCTTTAAACACTGGAGACCAACGTTATGTTACTATTGGTAAATAATACCAGTGAATAAGAGACACTGGGGTATCTTTATTTGTCAGCATGTGGTGATACCCAGGTGTTGCACATGTGTCTTGGGAAATTTATTTAGTAAAAACCCAAGTGGTTTTATTGCCCTGGACAGAAGAGATATTGTAATCTTCAGCAAAATGCTGCTGAAGATTGAGAAACTTGGGGTTGACCAACATGACACATTACTAGTCTGAAGCCTAACTTGTCAAATGAACTAAACCCGACCATTACTGAGTACATATATTCATCAAAGCATAAATTCTTAACAGGACCATTAAGCAACACTTGACAACTGCCACATTCATACCCTACCTGTCTGTCCATCTGGTTACACTTCCGTGCCAGCATTGAGCTGGTGGACATGTCTAAATCATTTGCTGAAGCTGTAGTTAACCCAGAGAAGATCAGTTTATTGACAAACTGCTCACTAATGAACATGCCAGTACCAAACTTCTCCACTTCTCGTAAAAATTCTTACTGTTATCTACAATGTCAGCAAGTACTTGGACCCCAACACCTGGGGTCAGAACATGTTGAAGAATGAGACACTTGTGCAATATTTTAAAATCTTTACTGAGAAAACACTTCACCAGCCAGTGACTTCAGTCCAATACAGAGGAAAGTGGTGAAAGTTGAGGAGGATAAGGTAAGCAATCACTCAATAAAGATTTCCAAATGTTGCACCTGTGTCCCATTCTTCAACTTGTTAGTTTTCTATACCATTACATCACATCAGAGCAAGTTTTTGCCCTCGTCAACTTCTCAGTAATTTGATATTGGTTAGGTGGACTGGTTAGGATCCTCTGCCACCCAGTATTTACTCCTGTGCAGCATTAAATAAGCACTACAGCATTGCCTTGTACATAGCAGATTCATTCTCACTTGATGCAACAAGTCTCAGCACTGAGGTCACATTGCTAGGAAATACCCAGCTCAGTCACACTGGTGTGCACTGTGTACAGACTCATTTACCTCAGCACTGCTATGTTATGTTAATGAATGAGACACTTGTACAACACTTGGGTATCTTTAGCGTGGTAATGTTTTGCCAGCCAGCAGCTTCATCAGACCAATACAAAGAAGAATGGTTGAAGATGAAGAGTTCGAGGCAAGCAATCCCACAGCCTGGGTTGATGTGAACAGTCCATCAATCTTGATAAAAGTGCAGCGTAAGTGCAGAGAGTTGTTGATGCTTGGAACAATCTTCCAAGTAGGACAATAGAGGCTAAAACTTTGGTTAGCTTTAGAAAAAGGTTGGACAAATATACAAGTGAGAAGAGCTGGATTTGATTAGTATCTTAGGTACTGAAGCTAAATCTTAGGTTATTTTTTTATTATTATTATTATTAACACATCGGCCAATTCCCACCAAGGCAGCGTGGCCTGAAAAAAGAAAACTTTCATTATAATTCACTCCATCAGTAATTATGTCTTGTCTTTCTCTCCTCTAAGATCAAGTTTATTTCAATCTCATAATGCATTCCTCTCAGTTTTGGTATTATTATTATTTTGTCATGTGTAGGAGCTGAGCTTACATGGGTCAACCATTCCTACCCAGTCTTGGGTAGGAATGGTTGATTTAAAGCAGAAACTGCCTAGTTTGGGCCAGTAGGCTTACTGCAGTGTTCCTCCTTTCTTATGTTATTATATACTGCAGTAAGATGAGGCAGAGCAGTTGGAGGAGGTGTCACCATGGAAAAATCCCACAGGTGGAAGTAGGTTATGCTTAGATGATATGGAACCATAGATCTTGATACAGGGAATTCTACACTTGCCTAACCTAAAGGCATGACCTACTTCCACATATGCTGTTTACATAATAATATAAGAATGAAGGAACACTGCAGCAGGCAGTGGTTTTTTAGTAGTATACCTCCCACCATCATGGCTTTTAGTAGTGTACTTCCCACCATCATAGTTTTTAGTAATATACTGCTCACCATCATAATTTTTAATACATAGTATACTTTTCACCATCATGGTTTTTAAGTGGAATACTTCCCATCATGGTTTATAGGGGTACACTTCCCATCATGGTTTTTAGTGGTATACCTTCCACCATCATAATCTTGAGTGTTATATTTCTCACCATCATGGATGTTAGTAGTATACTGCCCACCATCATGGTTTTTAGGAGTTTGCTGCCCACCATCATGGTTTTTAGTGGTATAAACTGCCCCCCCCCACACACACACACAATCATGCCTTATTTAACTGTAGAGGCATGACAGTATTCCTCAAGAGCAATTTAAAATTCAACACTCACATCCAGCACATAACTAAGGTCTCCAAAACAGTGGACATTCTCTCTAAGATACATTACTGTGTCTCAAGCACTACTACTTAATCTGTACTGCTCTCTAATTTAGCCTTACCTGGG